TTCTAGGTACCTCCTTGCCTACGGAATACCTAATAACTGCTGTAGTCAAGTGCAGTAGGTAGCAGTTTCCAGTACCTGACCTGACGACCTGGTCTTGCCCGCCTGGGTCTTTTTTGGGGGTCCAAAAGTCTGGGAGGTCGCGGTCGCACCAGCAAGCAACCCAAGCAACCACAAAATTCCAAGTCCCTTTCAATCGCGACCGACAGGCCGTGCAGCGCGACGGAGCCGCCAATTTCTTAGCAGCCCATCGACATCAACCGCCGCATCTTGCATACGACGGACGGCAACAATAAAAACAAAATAAAATTTACATTACAACTAGGCTAAAATGGCCTCGCCAGCCATAGCACTCCCTAACGGCGTCACTGCGCCTATGCAGCTCAGCAACAACAACAGCAATAGTAATGACAATAACACAGCCGACGTCGACATCAATTCCAATGCCAATAGTCCCGATACTGGGGTTGATTCCGATGTCAATACTGCGCAATCTATCGCCAGTGGCTCCATCAAGCGCAAACGCGAATCCTCAGATGTTGGCAAGAAACCGCCAAATGGTCTTACCATTGATCGCATCACTCCCACGGCAACTACTGATGATGCCTCTCCTCTTCTAAGCGCGACAAAGGTCGATCAGCCTACAATACGTAATTACTATGAAGTTCTTCAAAGGTACATAATGTTTCTCTGCCCTCCGCCCTCTGCCCTCCGCCCTCTGCCCTCTACCCTGCACTCTGCAGCCGTAAATATTATTTCCGAATCATATGCGCATCTCCCCCTCCACGATTTCTTCCTCCACGCGTAATAGATAAATGTGTTCTAGTGCTCACTACTCGCGATTTATAGGCTTGACCCAACGCCCTCTGTCCTCAAACGCCCCCTTCCCGATCCTGAACATTCTTCCGGTGAACCCCAAGCAAAACGAAAGAAGCCAGACGATGGAACACCGTTACTTTCTATTGCCGACAAGGTGGCTCGAGAGCAGTATGATGACCTTGTTAATGTCATTGCCGACGTCAAAGCCTCTATCACCAACCACCTAGCCGAGCTCCGAAATATACAACCTGGACAAGACGCCAAAGTAAATGAGGAAGCAATTGCCAAGGTTATCGAATTCAAGCAGCAGGCTTACAATATTTTCAAGCGGGAATTATCATATCCATATAATCCCCGCGTTTCTGATGTGCTCCACGATCTCAATTTGATCAATGATTTGCAGTCGAATGCCAGTGGAAACACGGTGTTAACGATTATTGGAGAGCCCATGAGGGGGAAGCCGCTGTACTCGAGTCTGCAGCAGCCTGTCCTCAAACGCGATGGTACGGAAACGACTATTCGATTATTGAGGGAGGATGGCTTACCTAGCGGCGTTAAAATTGCTAAGGCGATACCTTACACCTTCTCCTCCGCCATTGAGAAGGACAAGAAATCTAAGACGTTGGGGGAGCTATTCCCAGCTCCACGCAACCTGCCGTCGCTTCAACCCCCTAAGGCGCCAAAGAGCACAACCAAAGGAGTCCAGGTCGGCTGGCATCGCCCTGAATTGACTGAGAAGTCTAAGTACCGAGCCGGGTCATACTTTAGCCAGTCCATATCTACTGGACGTTGGCTAGATTACAGTAATGCCGCCCCCCCTTCGCAAATTATGACAAAGCAACGTGAGCGAGCTCTAAGTCTGGCTGGAAATAAGCCATCTTCCTCCGACCTCGAGATGTCCGAGATGGAAGCCCTATTCCGTGGCGCGTTCTCCAGTTTTGCCCCCTCCAAGGATGATTCGGCTGCCATGATCTCGTCGGGTTTAATTAGCCACACCATGTGGTGGCAAAAGGTGGGAAGACGTAGCTTCGATCGTTTAATAGAGACCGAACTACCGGAAGACACCCCCGAGGAAACAGAAGATGTCGCCGCCACCCCCATCGAGGAGGTAGACGAAGAGCTAATCAAGGAGGCTCTAGAAAATTGGGATGACACCATGGTAGACCCTAGCCTTGAACAGGCCTGTTGTCCAAAGAAATCCGATGAGGAGAAAGATGTCGATGACATCCTTCAAGACGTATCTGACATGATCCAGACATTGATATCATACCAGAAGAACCGCAATTTAACCCTTCCGACCGCATCCAGTCAGAGTCGATATGCGGCGGATCCGTCTCATAGCGATATGCTCACGAACGGGACACCGGTACAGCCCGGTGAAGAAGAAACGGCCACTTACCAAGCCCTCAAGGCACAACTATCTCTTGTTATTCAAATGCTCCCGCCCTATGCCGTTGCACGCCTAAACTCGGATAAGTTGGATGAATTAAACATATCAACCAAGATTGAAATTCGTACCGATGAATATCAAGGTCTAATGGAGGAGGACGAGGCAGCTGCTCGTGCAAGAGCTGCGCAGGCTCCCGTAAATCCTCGGCCAGTTACGCATCGCTCTTCAAGTTCCTCGAACAACTTGCAGTATAGTCAGCAGTATCACGCCAACCGTGCCCCGATGCCCAACCCACCATTCTACGGCCCGCAAACACCGATACGACCCCCTCAGCCTGTGATACAAAGACCACCCCAGACAATGCCGGCCGCTTATCCCCAACGGCCCCCATCAAACACGGGCTACCGGCCTCCTAATCACTATCCTAATGCAGGCTATCCTCAACAATTCAATAAACCTCCGCCATTCCCACAGCCCGGTCCTTACGGAGGCACGCCGACCCAAGCTCGACCCCCATTTCAACCCATGCCCGGGTATCCTAACATGGGTAGCCAAACACCACAGGCTCGTTTCCCTCCATATCCACCGGCCGCTCAAACACCCAACTACCATCCTCAACCTTATCAACCACAGCATCAAGCTCAGCAGCACGGTACTCCAACGCACCAACCATATAGCCAGTATACAAACGGTGTGGCTAGCGTCCCTCAAAGGACAGCATCCCCGCACATCTCCCACCAGCCACCGCAGCACCAACCTATCCCTCACCACACAGGGTATAACCCGGCCGCAACACCCACAAGGCAGTCATCATACAGTAGTCAGCCAAATATAGGCAACGATCCATCAAGGCGCTTCTACCCCCCAACTGGTTCTCCTGCAATACCAAATAACCAGCTCAACCCGCATGGGCAGCAGAACCAAAATCCCCAAACTCCGGGCACCTCATCATTTCATACGTCCCTCAACCCTCACCAGGTCCAGCAAGCCATGGACCAAGCCAAAGCTCGCTTTGATGCGACCAAGAGTGCTCAAAGGACGAACGAGGGTATCAGAAATTCGATGTCTGGTCAAGGGCAGGTTGGTGCACCAGTGGGCTTGGGTGGTATTGGTCTGGGAGGGGATCCAGCAAGGTTGGCAGCAGTTAGAGCAGGCGTGCCTAACTATGCAGCTTCTAACCAAAGCCCTAAACATATGCCTGTGGCTAATGGCAGCCCCGCGATGGCTCCCGCAGTTTCGACAGCAAATGGTGGCCAACCAGCTCCTGGTAGAGAAGCCTAGAACCCTTCTTTACCACAAATTTACCATCGTTATGTGACAGATACTATATTACGTCAACCCATCTATGGCGCAGATGGTGTTTACTCGTTTAACCCGCCAGGGGCTGACGTCCCAGCATCGGGACCCGATTTGGAAACCGGACGACTTAGCGAGAACATGTCCAGATAAAAGTCGTATTAGCGTTGGTTCTTGATCATCAAGGTTGCATATTGAGTTAGGAAGCAATCACAGCTCCCAAACATAAAGGGGTGATGTAATGGAGTGCGAGGAGTGCAGGTGGCGGTACTCTTCCACGGTAGAAACAGGCATTGAGTTCTTCTGCCTAGAACGAAAGAACCAGGAACGGGGGTTTCCCTTGTTCTCCCTCCCCTGATCTGTTGGTTTCCCTTAGGACAGTTGTCAACATTAGAGAAACGGATTTAGCGAAGTGGAAACATGGAGGAATTCCCCCTCGGGGCAAATGGATGGGTAGGAAATACGTAGACGGCTTCATTAATATCTTTTGTTGCGTTCCTTCCGCCTCTCGGGATAGAAAAGCTTCATATTTTGTGTACGCTTCCCCCCTTGCCTCCCGTCAAACAGATAGGCGTGCATTTCGATACAAGGCTTTTCGTCGTCGCCACCTTGTTATGTGCCATGGTGCGTTGCGTAGCCTTCGTGTATAAAACAATATTGCAGAGATGTTAGGTAGTTGATAAGTGAGGCTTGAGATAATTCAAAGGTTCAACGTAGTTGACTTAATCGATGATAATAATGATGATGATGTATTTTATTAATCAAGATGTGTTGTAATTGTGATACTCGTAGGTCTGTGTTGCGGTGCTTCCAGTTTGAAGTGGTTTCGCCATTGAAAATATATTGGTTACTTGTTATGGTGGGGATCCCGCCATGATGGTGGTTATCATGTTGTTGTAAAGGATTAAATATAAGGTAGCGTGAGGCCTTTGCTGGTTTCTCCCTAGGTTCTAGTGCGCAACTTGTATGACTTATGGCGGGGGGTGGGGGCCTAACTGGGTGGTGTTGTCGACGAGGAAAGTTGAGATGGTACAGTGAACTAGAGTCTGGACCTGGAAAGAAGCTATCGCCGGTTTCGGTAGCTAGTTGATAAGTAGTCGTAGTCGTAGTCGTAGTCGAAATCGCGGGATTTGTCGATGGCGACATGATCTATCTGTAAGGGAGCAAATGCCTACATCAGGTAGGTAGATAGGTAGGTAGGTAGGTAGCTAGATCGGTTGATTGCCTAAGGGAGGAGTTGTGATGATGTTTGGGAGAAGAGAGTGAGAGCAGAATTAAGAGAGGGGAATGGATTAAGAAGATGAAGATTGAAGATGAAATACTTAAATGGGGTTGTTGGAGGGTAAATAGACGGGGCTAGTCGGGGGAAAGAGGGAGGAGGAGGAGGTAACTCTAGCGATGGACTCGATGAACTCGACTGGCTGAAATATCATTCGGAGCTTAGTTCCATAAAAAGTGACAAGCTTTGTTTGTCCACCTTGAGAGTACTGCGGTGACGAGGAAGTCCCCTCCTATGTAGGTTAGATATTAATCGAATCCTACTTTAGTTTATTTCCGCCGTACGAGGGCTGATTGTTTTAGTAGTTCGTATTAACCTGCTAACATATATTCACCACGTCAACCAAGTTCGAACTCGGAGAATATCATAGCGCTTCTGTGGCTGAGTTTATTTATCTATTCTCCGGTGAACATACAGGAAAAGCTGACTCTATTCCTGGGCCCGCTGGTGACCACACTGGCAATCTGATTATGAACCAGCCCAAAAGCCATGTACAACCAACGCTATATCCGTGCGGATCTCCTACCTACCTCTACCTCTACCAAACCATAACAAATATAATCATAAGGCTATTAAGAAGTCTCATCTTCGGATTTAGTGTTAGCTATGCTCATTCCCCTGAGCGTATATATTGACACTTGTCCAAATAGGTTCGTGTACGGGAACTGATATTCATCGTACTCCTTGGCAAGTATACGTACGCGGGGTGTATCGAAATCCGCAATATGATAGCTACATGCATGATATGGTAAGTATAGATCCCCCAAGAAACAATTTGACAAGCAGGATATAGAATATCAAGCTGGGTAACGAGAGGCACATACTTCCAAAAGGACGTGATATCTTCCCCGAAGGTAACAAGCTGATGGGCCCTGCTTGAGATGTCGATCTCTGTCGGGGTCAAAATCGTGCCCCAAAACATAGCTGCGGGTTTTGCGATATCCGCCACGATCTCCTTGAGGCAGAATATGGAGGGGGGAGCAAACACGAACGTCTTGTCGTCGATCTCGGCGAATCCGCCTGCTCCATATCGACCTACGACGGAGAAGCCCTTTCTGAATAGGATCGCCGCGCAGTCGGGGGTATAGTGGACGTCCTGCGCGAGAATTTGTATTTGACGGCCAAATCGCTTGAAGAGCACCTCGGCGACGGTAACCACAGCCGCGTGGCGTATCATGGAAAGATTCAACATAACCGTGTTCTCGTCATCACTACCCGGGGCGACGAAGTTGCCGAGCCCGATGCACACGATCTTGTTGATATATGGCGGGAACGGAAGTCTCATGAAGGTCGAGTAGAAGTGCTGCCCTACCTGGTTTTCGTCCCAGGCGGCCTGGCATTGGGTAAACTTTTCCTCCTGCTCGTCAAGGTCCTTGGGTACGTAAGTGTAGGCTGCCTTCTCGCTAATGGTCATGGAACTGTATGCCATCCCTTCGGGCCGCGTGACAAGTGGAAAAGCCATAGCTTGGTAACCATGGAAATCAACCTTGTATAAGTTCCTATTTGAACATGTTAGTCCAGGTTACTCGAAAGGAGGTATAATTCTGTGAAGCTTCGGACCCTGGTTCCTTATAAGCAATATAATCCCCCGACCCGGCATAGAGCGAGGTGCGTACTATGCCGCCACGGCCCGCAATCATGTTTTCCATGTCGAGGAGCTTCTCTTTAGTCCACAGTCTGACTCCCGCTTCGTACTTCTCAATGACCTCGCGTTGGAGCTTGATTTCCTCATCCGACCACCTTTTAAATATGGGAAGCTGTGGGATAGCCTTGGCTAGTTCGTCGGTATTGGACGTCGCCCCCTCAGAACAGTTGCTGCGATCTCCGCTAATTTCACAGTCATCCCACGATGTAGGCGTGTATAAGTTCTTACTGTCGTCTATAGAGCCACCTTTTGACCCCGCAAGGCCGATTGAGCTTAAGGGGCGTGGAGAGTTGTAGCTCTCGCCGTCACCGCCGCTGGGTTCACTCTTATCCGAGACTGCAACGTGGGAGTTCTATACCAATGGTTCGGACGGTAGTGAAGATGACGACCTCAATTGACTGCGGCTTAACTTTCTTTTGAAATCCCCTAATTTCCGGCGCACGCTGCGAGTACTCGAGACGAACCTTTGACGTTGCTGATGCAACTGATCGATATGGAGGGTCTGAGTGCCAGCATCGACATATTCTGGGGTTTTACTTGCCATTTTAAAGTAAAACAATAGAACTAAATATTAGGGCTTGATGTAATTTTCAAAGGATATGTAAATGGTGTAGTCTAAGAAATCAGAGTAGTATTGAGCTGGGAAGATATGTAGTGTGATGTTAACGTTGAATGTAATGATGATTGATGGTAAGTCTGAGAGCACATGGAAATGGACTTAGAAGTGCACCTGAATTTCATTTCCTTTTATATTGTAACTTCCTTTAGACTTGGTAGGTATTTCGAGCTGTTAGACAGGGTCGATGGGCGTAGTAGCATATTCTAGGATATAACTATATGTTCATGCATAGGTAGGTATGAAGGCCGTACTTCCTGGCAGTTCCCTGGATTTATTTCATGCATGTACCTACCTCTAGTATTGAAGAATACTTACAATCCAAGGTAATAGGTACCTTATGTCTACTTGTGCATAATGCGTCATAGATGTACTTAAACTCGTCTCCCGAAGAGTTAACCTACCTACCTAGGTAAGTCTAACTGCCCAGCTGCCCGGAACTAAAGGTTAGGTAGATTCGGTCAAATGCATAAACCCGAATGTCTTCTTCCTATTTTGGAAGGGTTATAGTGGGTTATCTCATACGTCACAACGTTTAGTTTAGGTATGCTTCTAAGCAAACCATTAACCATTAACCATCAACTACCTACCATTATTAAAAGTCAGGGGATATTTGATCCACAACTTCCAACGCTTAAATAAAGTCGGTGCTGTGTGGGCAGGAGAGATAGATACCTATACATGTTATATTACCATCGGCTGTCAAAACGGAAGATCTTATCTTTCAAAGTTCCCGCGTTGACCATCACCCCGTAGTTTAATACCGGGGAAAAGGGAGAAATGATATCTTTCTCTCCACGACAAGATTCCAGACAAATATGTGGAGAAGATTGCGTATGCGTATACATAGTACGCCGAAACATTATCACTTGTTTTAAGTAGGTAGTTATACCTAGCATGCTAATAGATATGACCCTTCTTCCTAAGTACATAGCAACTTTCTTTTTCCCTGGCTGCTAAACTCGATTGATTAATCAGATCCCTCTTCATATTTAATGGCCGGTAGGCTCACTCAGAAGATCCTAGGTCACCTGGGCCCCCTACTAAGCGGCGACCCCAGTAACAACACGGCATCTTTACCCATCCACTGGAAAGTCGATACCAATGAGACTGTCCTCCACCCCGCAGGCGGGACATACCCTCGCCTATGCCGGCTCTCGGACGGTGATCTACTATGCTTAACAACTGGATTCCAAGGCCCCGGAGGTCGCGAGCACGTCCTCCAGGTCTCGCGCAGCGTGGATGGCGGACACACCTTTAGCCCGCATGGAGAAGTAACCCGCGGCATAGGTGATATTGATAACGGCGTCTTAATTGAAGTACCACCTTCAGTCCCCGGGAACAGTGGCCCGGTTGTTCTCGCCGCATTCCGGAACCACGACCGCAAGCCCGGCAGCCGACCCTCGCATTTCCGCATCGTAAGTACTAATCCTAATCAAGATCTATCAATCGCCAGAACAGACTTTACTCCGTTATATTTTTCTTTTCTTTTTTCATCTTATAATTTTATTATCGGAATAAAACACCCTCTAACTATTCGTAGACGGTATGCCGCAGCGAAGACGGCGGGCGTTCGTGGAGATTCGCCTCCCAGGCCGCGGAGCAGAGTGCAGCCAGCAGTCATGGTTTAGGATTATGGGAGCCGTTTATGCGACTTGGCGGCAGAGACGGACAGGAAATACAGCTTACGTTTTCGCGCGAGCTAGCGCACAACGACCAGGAGACCTTCCGCGTAGATTCTAGAGACGGAGGGGCGACCTGGAGCGGCCCGCCTCGGTGTCTGCGTTGCCATCCGTCGCATGAGAATCTACGCGACGGCATGCAGGGCATTGTAAGCGTGCGCGACACGGCGGGCGTCGCAGCAAACGGACAGCAGCAGGACGTCAATGCGCTGGTTGTAGTATTCGAGACCACGAGGCATGGCACATTCAGCGTCGAATACGCCGTCTCGTACGATGAAGGACTCACGTGGGGATCGAGAGGCGTGGTGTACCGCCCTAAACCCGGTCGCAATGCAGGCGCGCCGCAGATCGAGCGCTACGGAGATCGAGGAATGGCTGTCGTGTTTATGACGGACGAGGAGACGGATGTACCAGCGTGGCCTAGAAAGGCTGCCATCAAAACAGTATTCGCCGAGGGTTTAGAAGGAGGTATGATACGTTGGAGCCAGCCCGTGCTTATCCACAAGGCGCCTTCTTTCTGGCCCTCGATCATTAGTCTTGGCCAAGATGAGCTTCTGGCTGTCTACGAGCATGGAGGAAGACCTCTCGGGAAACGCATACGAAGAGGCTAATGTGACGTTTAGGGCGTGTGATGGCAAAGGCAAATTTGTTTGATTGAGATGTTCTTAGATAGAGAAGAACCTCTAATAACTAATCGACTGGCCAATGCTGAACAATGCGAAGGGAATTATACTCAGGTGGAAGAGGAGTGATAGAGTGTGCCACCATTTCCTTGCTAATCAAGGCCTAAGAGACCCTTTGTCTCTATAGCCCATTATCACCACCCTCGTACCGCGATGCGGATGAGTTTACCTTCGGGTTTGGATGTGTAGTAAAGGAGTTGATAGCATTGCTATGGATAGTGATTTGGCGGGTTGGTATATCTGGATACTGAGTAACGAAAGTTGTCCCTTGTTCTGTCTTATGCGTGTAGCGTTATATATTGGTGTCTTCTCGTTTACCACGGTTGTCATTACCGACTTACTATACCTTATTTTCATGGATGGGCAACCTGCTCATTCGGATAAGTGATCAAGCTGATGCACTTTTCTGCCAGTAACTTACAGGGAACTCATACGTTGGCTTAGAAAGCGCGTTGTATTTTCGTATGCTTGAAGCTTGTATGGAAAGTGCCATAAGCATAGACTGAGTAGTGTTCTTAAATATCCCCTAGGTAGCTTTCCCACCTACCTACGCATAAAGGTACGTAGGACATTCGATATCTACTCCGAACTTGCTTCGTTTATGGTCTCACGATATACCCTTCTCAGTTCAAATAGGACTTCGATGGTAATGAGGAATATGATGATCCACTCTAGCCGGTGGCCGTACTTTTCGCTGACCATCTCTCTCAAGACACTTACGTTCTCAAACCCGTAGTCAATCTTCTTATTTAGAATCCCAATACGTTGCCGTATATCTAGAACAGTACTGATCTGGTTGTAATAATTCTCTAGATTCGACTCGGAATCCCAGAACATATCGGGGAGCTGGTCTGTTATGTCGGAGTAGTGATTCAGCTGCGATCTCAAGCTAAGGAGCTTGCCAGTCATCTTCAAGACGGCGCCGCGCTTCAGCTTATGCTCTAGACCTCCCTCAAGAAAGTCAAGACTGTTCTTGGAATTTTCGAAATAGTCAATGGCCTGGTTTTCGAGCACTGCTAGCTTAGGACTTCTAGCTAGGCCGCTCGAGAAGGCGATTTTGGCGAGCGTCGTGTCTAATCTGTGATTTTCTAGCTCTTGTGCCCTCGTGCCCAGGACGACAACTTCACCCCTCATATAACTAGTGTCGCGAGACTCATCCGGTATGAATTCGAGCTCTTCCATCTCGAGACGATTAAGATGGGGCAGCTGGGCAGCTCGAATAAGATGCTTAGTAGCAAGGGTCATGAGGGCGTCGGTGGGTACGGACCAAGCCACCACGGTTCCGGAGGGGAAGACAAATATGTCTCCATTATTGATACCCCTCGCATGTACAACACCTGTAGGGTCGAATTCGGTACCGTCGGGATCCAGTTCGAATGCGTGGAAGCGCAATATGTCCTGCACGGCTTCCATATCAAAAGATTGGGCAACGCATATCGAGGTTATAGTTCGGCGGTAGTCCGTCTCAGAATCGGTGTTCTCTTTCCTCGGAATAGTAGTGCGCTGAGGCGGTTTGGTAGTAAGACCTAAGCGCAAAGTCTTTGCCGCCGAGACACGAACGGGTTTGCGCTTGGAAGCCGGGGTTCGATTTTGCTGTTGTGTTTCCGAACTGCTGGTAGCGCCATCTTCAGATTCTGTAGAGACGCCATCCTTCGTAGAATTCGCAAGTAACTGATTTGAAGTAAAGAAGCTACGCTTCCGTGGCAGAGAGGCGAAGGTGGTTTGGTAGAAGCATCGCTGTGGTCTTGGGAGGGGGGCTATCGTATGCAGTCCACGAAATGTGGAAGCTACTACGTTTTGCAATGAGGGTCGCATGTTGAATTTGATTCGGCCATCGAATGGGGGGATTGGTGGCCCACGAATATATTTTCAATATGTTTTGAGTGGGATCTATCTTTATCGTGGATTTCAACGAGAGAGAGAATAATAATTGATTTTATTTTAATATCGTATCTTGATAGCCTTGATAACCTTGATAACCTTGATAACGCAACTTTAAGCTCACGCTAAGGACATCAGCTAAGCTGCACGGGGCGGTACTTTGGTACAATACAGTACGTATGTACATGTAAAGATGTGTCTAATCGATAAGAATTTTTGAAAGTTGAACGTCCAAACATTCTGAATTCTATTCTGAATTACATCTAAACTAAATCCAACTCTTCAGCAATTGATCTTATTATGATGTTTACAAGTAGCAACATGTCGGACTTACTAGACCATCTACTGAATGGAGTCTATAAGCCGCATGTAGGTACGCATTCAGATTCCATAGCAGCACAGAGTCTATCACAGAGTCTATCATAGAGTCTATCAACTTAGACAAGTTGGAGCTCTTATTATCTTATTACCTACCTAGAATTCCGGTATAATGTCTGCCTCGCCCGCCGTGTCGTTAGCCAAACCTGGAGTTGGGCCTGCCTCTCTTTTGTTATCCCCACCGGCTTGGAGTCAAACGCTTTCGCGATTGACCGGCTCGAGACGGCATCGCTATCCTCGACTACAAACACCTCCTAGTCGCATAGTTGCTCTGCGGATACGTTGCAAGACTGAGGCGCAAAAGAATTCATACCGTTCTGCCTTTCAGTTCGCCGCTCAACAGCGGTCCGATCGATTACCCCTATTGATGTTCCAAGCCTGGATGGCAAATCAAGATATTCGGAATGAGCCTAAACTATTCGAGACTATACACTCCATCACTGCGTCTGAGTGGGCTGACCGCTTCCATAGCTTGGCTAACAGGGGCTGGTCGAAGGAAGACGTAAACCATTGGATATGGATAGTATCGGGGGAGAACGGAGACGCTCGCGTTCAACGTTTGATTTCAACTGAAAATCCTAAACCTATTTTTCTTGCCACGCTCATGTCACGTAGTGACGAGACGTTTCGCCAAGCGACATCTTTACTATCCCTGATGGAATACATATCGAAACACCACATTGATGTCGGATCTCCATCGTTGGGTGACCATATAGTGAACCTTACAGTAACACAAATTTTGCTGCTACTTCGCCGCCTCAGTAATCATGTTCGAAGATCATGGCCCAGGTTGATTATCACACTCTCACGGTTCACGATGAACTACATTCAAGGACTGCCCCCCAATGACTATCATAATAAATGTGAAGTCTTCAATTCGGCTTTGCAATTATTTAAGCGGCCGGCTGTAGACCATCCAGTCGCGAATATGGAGTTCAATTGGAGAGCGCAGAGGCTCTTATTAGCTATGTCTGATAGTATGGATACCCCCCTGATCATTAACAAAGCTAGCTATAGAGCTATTCGAGAGGTCATGATTGGGCTAAAAAAGTCAAAAACGGAGAAAGTAGTTGCTGTAAGATACTCGAAATCCTGGCCGCCGTATCGGCAAGATTTTGATGGGTTTGATGCGAAAAGAACGGCAGAAGATGACTACTCGAGAAGCGTAAAGGCTGGCGTTCTCATGAAGGAGTCTGGTTATCCTGATGACGAGTATGATCAGGCACTTAGTGTTCTTGGTGGGATAGGCCGTGATTCTCCTACCGTGCAGACTCGTAGTCTTGCACCAAAAGAGTGGAAAGGTGAAGAAGAAGACCGGAACATATATTCGCGCTGGGCCATGATGATACGGGCAACCCGCAACCCCCAGGAGGCATGGAAAATTTTCAACGACCTTGCTGTCGAAACGGGCAAACCTCCTAACACCCAAGTTTACGCCGAGATGTTTATGAAGCTACAAGCTCGCCTCATCCCCCAAACCTCAACTTCCTTACCAGGTGAAACCGGAGAAAACTTTCCATTTCATGACGCCAATTATAGTGAATACGAGCTAGCTAGGTTATCACCTCCTACAGTTACCGAGTTATACGATCAAATGGTCAGTCAAGGTGTAAAACCGGAGGGTCACTGTCTTAATATCTTATTGAGCAATGCCAGCTCCCTCCAAGAGGGGGCTCGCTTTCTTCGTGACAGTGGCATTAACCCTGTTAGTATCAGCGCACTGGGTCTTTTTAAGAAGCCGTCTTATGAGGCACTTCGACGAATCCCTCTCTCAGTTTTCAAGAGCTATATACAACTTCTTTGTAGATTACAGCCTAATCGTCGGGGCCAAGAAAAGCTCCCTCTTGATCAACTTTTCCGCATCCGACATGCTATTAACCTCATTAAGTTTCGACTAAGACCGGGAACTACCGAAGGCTCTACATTCCGACCGCCTTGGGTTATTATCCTAAGGGCACTGGCGCGACCACACCTATGCGTGATAAATGACACACAGGCGAGCAATGATGCGGCGGCTCTATCAATATCTATGGATGTTATCCAATTCGCGCAGGAAACAGTAGGACTAGACCCGGATATTTTTCTTTATTTATGTCGTACAGTTCAAAAGGCGGCGGTATCCCGACTAGAATCTCTAGACTCATCGACAGTCGAAAACAGTACGATAGAGACCCCTTTAATACACCATTCTCATGATGTCCTAGAAACATTAAGGTCACTCTTCTCTCAAGTCACTATGCCGATACAGATATCCAGAACAGAGTATGAGAGGCTCAAGGCACCTCAATTTGTATATAACATAGGCCCTGCTCATCTTCACGCCTATATGCGCGCTTTAGCTTTCCTCGAGGACACAGCTACGATGAAAAAACTGTTACAATGGATATTAACACATAAAGCTTATGTTGACAAAGAAGCTGAGCGGATAGAAAGTCGTGGGTATGCACTGATAGCGAAGACGCTATGTGCCTTTCAAGCCTTTGCCGGTCCAAGTCTTAGGCATGACGAGCAGGAGGACCTGATATCCCGGATGGAAAATACTACAGAGACTAGAGGCTCCTGGAGATGGCCGACACCGGAAGAAGTCGACACCTATGTACAGTCCGATTTACGTGGCGGTTCCTGGCGACTTCAGCGGAGGATTTTAGCCAAGCTGTGGCATAAATCCTCCCAGGAGGAGAGTGAAAAGGAAATGAGCTAAATATCTAAATAAATAAATGTACACCAACGATATTAAAAATACCCCATCATGATATACCTCAACATACTATATTTTCGCTTAGAATCACGTTGTATAATGACAATGTTCTTGATCATGAACTAGTCTCTAACTTCTAATTTATACTCCGTTGTTTAGATATCGTTCTTAAACACTATTGTTTCGAATGGTAGTATATAGTAACAGCCACATCCGCGGTTGTGAAATAATTTCAAGACGAAGGTATCGCCAAAGAGCTGCAACTAGCATTCTCGTGAAGACTTACATAAAATACCATACTAATATCCTAAGAAGGAAACTTTATTGCAAATAAGCATCCTTTAAAACGCAACCATGGGTGAGAGATATATCAGCGATCCAGTGGTTTACAACCACTTCCCTGGTGGATTTGGAGGAGTGAACCACACAACTCGCGTGCAAATATACGGTGGCCCAGTTCCATACCGTCCTGGTGTTGAAACGCCTTTAGGACGATTATTATCAGCACATGCGAACCTGTGGAGCCTACACCCATCACAACTACTTCCCCGTGCTCTGACTGAGGAACTAGATCTATCAAGAAGAGTAAGAGACAGTCATGTTTCACCATCCGTCTGGAGCTCGAACATAAGAGGCCTCTTCCGAGGAGCTCTCATTCGAGACTCTTTCAACCAAGCCTCTAATCAGAGCATCCCAGAACAGGATCTTATGTTCAATCAAGAGGATTCGACCGAAAATTCCAATGAAGAACAAGCAATAGTTACTGTAACTGATGCTAAGCTATACAGCGAAATCCGCGACCTTTTTGAACGTGATCCCATAGAAAACGAGCCTAAGATAGACCTTGTCTTACACTGTCCGATTTGTTCGGAACGGCTTCGCTTTACCCATCCAACCCACCCCGAGCGATTCGTTAGGATCCCGAATGGGACGGAATGGCTTGACGTTCTCCCTTGTGGGCACATTATGGGCCTAGTTTGTATGCTAGATTGGACGACGCAATGCCGGATTGATGGGCGTAGAATCACGTGCCCTGTATGCCGATTTGATTTGCAACATTCGAATCCCATCTGCGGTCACCCGATCATGACTTTTCTGATCGAGGAAGGGGCGTCCCTCCCGCCATTGACTGTCCCAGAAGGAGGCTATGTATATTCTCTTTGTCCGATATGCGGCGGAGCTGAGCCAGATTGGGGTAGGGATAGACATGTGTGGAATTAAGATCTCCCTTATAATTCTATTCAAAATATACCCACCAGCAAGCGGGAGTATCAAAGGACCTATAAACACCTCAAAAGCGTTGTGTGATTCTAGCATTGCATTTATAAAGGTGTTTGCTAACAATGACAGCGGTCCAAAGTCGAAGCTTAAGTAATAGTAAAGGAACGGATTCTAGTCGTGGATGTGTACCATTAGATCTAGTTATTTAAATGTATCTCAAGTTAGATACTTCTTAGTCAATTTCTGTCATGACCTTTATGTGATGAATAATAGATATAGTGGATCATCAAAGACTAGGTTAAGGAGTTGTTTATAATGATATTGTCTTTTAACTAAGTAGTTGAAATAATAATAGACTGATATACTTTATAGCGCTTTATCCTATAACTCCTCGCTTGTAGACTAAAAATATTGTATTGTCCCCATTGACCATATTTGCCATCTTGAAAGTTTAGCTGCTGGAAATAGAATGTTGTAATTTTATTGACGCCTTGAGGGTTTCCGAGAGTACCTAAGGCAGATGATCTTGAGTTAGGTACCTGGCCTAGTCTTAATGTACCTATTAACATACACAGGCGCCGTACTTATATGTAACGAAACATGTTCTGTTACACTTGGGGTTAGCTGACCAAGTTCGAACTTATAATAGGGGCTTAATGATAGACCCTTTTAAATGACCACGTATGAAGAGAGACACTCACATCTCTCACGCCTCGCTTCATCGCCACCGGCTTCCCATCCTCGTATTCTATTCCGGCCTCTCCACCGTCGCCGGAAAGTCCCGACATCTTCCGCTGCAACTCAGCATCTATTTCTGCCATAGTCTTCTGCTTTCCTTGGTTCTTGGCGGTTGTCACGCTTTCTCGGTCAGTTGAAGCTGAATGTTGATTATTCTCTTGATACTGTGAGTGGGATTGAGAACTGGCCAACCGCTGACTGAAAGTGAGCAATCTCGACGGTGGAAGCACCGGGGAGCCCCGAGCGATGAGTGGACGCATTTTTAAAATTCTAATAATAAACTGAGGAGCAATTTCTTGATTATACGTGTTGAAATGATATTACGCTTGTTTTATATAAGACAAGGTAGCTCCTGAACTGCTATATAGGTAGGTAATTAACAATTAATACTATTCCTAGTACACATTCATCCGTATGACGACACGTATTCTGTATTCTCATTCACGTCATTAGATGGGCCCAGCCCCTATTCTAATAATTTAAGCCATACATCTATTCATTTCATATGACTGCATAGATGCATGTATAGTAAAACGGTTAGTTACATACCTCCCGACCGCCTATAATAATATATAATATATAATTGGAGAGAAGACATACAGAAGACAGACTAACCCCCCTTCTTCATTCTACAACTACTATCACGAAAGGAACAACATGATATCAAATCAAATCAAATCAAATCAATCAAAGATACATAGCACCATATATCAAATATGCCTTCGGGGTTAATCCGGGGTTTTATTACTTTATGGAAGATACTATTCCATCTAATATCTAGCCAAAGCATGCTTTTATGTGATGCATATCTTAGTCTAATATTGACAGCCCCGATCGTCACGAGCTCCAATAAAGGGGACCACGTTGGCTACCGGTCGTATCAATGGTCCGAGCAGGCCAAACGTGCTCAAGCTGTGAGCATTCTAAGTGGCATGGAGGAGATAAGTAGATGAAGCGATTATGGAGAAGAGCCCGGCGGAGGCGCGCAAGGGTCAACGCCAAAGTAGACTTGGACCTCCCTCCAGTTTCTAGTCTCGAGCTCAGACAAGTCCGTTCGCATCTTCTCCCGCCCGATGGACTGGCGCGCAGACTCGGCCTGGCAGCGGAAGCTTCCAAAGCGCCACTCCTGACGGGTGTACAAGCTGTTTATAGACAGCGTCAGGACGGCCTCGAGCTCGTAGTTGAACTTGGACCGGAAGAAGGCGTGCAGGAACGGCTCGTTGACGATGCAGTTGGGGCCTTCGATATGCAGGACGCGACAGTGCGGGCTTGGGTCGCGCGGTGCCGATCTGATGCGGTTCATCTTGAGCTTGGGGACGTAGCCCTCCACGGAGAACTCGCCCGCCTCCGACTTGGCGAGAAGGTTGTCGACGCCGGAGCGGTCGAAGAAGACGAGCTTAGACGCCGAGGTTGTGTGGGGGGCTCGCTGTCGAAAGCGGCCAGTAGACTCGCTGGGCGGGTTGATGACTGCGGCATAGATCTTCCCGCAATTGCGGATAGCGCCCAGGAGCATCTGATGAGTGCACCTAGGCGGGAGATTGGTCAGCCAGAGCGAAGTGCTTTCGTGCTCGGGCACATTTGCGGATTGGTTAGACGGCAGGAAAATATTGCCTCCGTAGTTCTCCGATATACCGGTGGCGGCGAGCTGTCGATCCCACACGCCCGGGGGTAGAAGGTGTCTAGTGCGCCAGGTGGTCCCTTGGCCCATAGGAGTATATCCTCCGTTGGCTCCCCAGCCTCCTCCACTCGACGGTGCAATGATGAACCGGGGTGTAGTTATTGGATGGATTGATGGAGATGGGAAGATTGGGTCGAAATACGTAAGTCCCTGGCTGGCTGTATTCTCTTCTAGCCAGGAAGAACGGTTGCTATTAGTATCTGGGCGATGGGCTCCAGCAATAGAAACGATTGAATTATTCGAGTTATTCTGAAACCAGGGAGATGAGGACGTTCCCACGTGTGGCTCGTACGGACGGGTCCCGTATTGAGAAGACGCCTCGTCAGAGGGAGTGTTTTGGTAGTTATCCGGAACGTTACTGAACCGCATCGTGGATAATGAAGTTGGAATTTAAAAATGCGGATGGAGGAGCGTGTTGCCTAGGTAATAAGCTCTTAGTTAGTATTCGTATATAAAAAGCCATCTTAGAAGATAGGGAAGAGTGTTGGGGTAAGTAGCTATAGGCGAATTGATGGATATTATGGCGGTGTCTGTGTTAGGTATAAGGACTTTGGAGTAGTTTAGGGATGTACTCTAATGCTTGATTATTTGGTAAGTAAGTTGAGTAATACCGAAATATTATTAATGAATTTGTAGTGGAATTAAGTTTAGGTTAGTCTTGAAGGTATTAGTAGGTCTTGGTGTTGACGATGATGTAAGGTAGGTAGGTAGGTAGGTACCTAGGTGTTGATGGAATATGGGTTGGATCAGGTTATTGGAGAGTAGAAAATATTGAAAGATTTCCTACCGTTTATTGGCAAAGGTTGTACAGGTTATTGATGTTGTGTATTGTGTAGAGATGGTTTGTGGAGGTTGAAGTTAGAAAAGGTTGGGAAATATCTAGAGGGGAGATTAAATAGGTTTTTTATGGTTGCTGTAGCTGAGAGCTGTGTCTTCCTTAGGGCTGGATCGAATTTTATTTGTACCTAAGAATATTACTGTTGTTACCACGACGATCAACGTGAAAAAGCTTGGGCATCTGTCTTTTCGTGAAGTAGCTGAGGTAACAGTTTCTACGCAGCAGGCAACTACTTTAGAGGCTGGGGGGCAACTGAGAGTAAGAAACTCGGCAATGGACTTATCGTAGAGACCAGGTAGATGCCTAATTGGCAACCTAATGGACCCTTTAACATTTCTAAGACAGCCTTTTTATTACTACTAATGCAAGTTGAATAGACGTAATTGCATCAAAGACAAGCGATCTCACTTTCAGAGCCGAGAGCATCTCCTTGCAGTGAAAACATCCATTTATAACAAAACAATCTACGAGTTAAGCCTACATAAGGAATAAAAAGAAAGCAAGAATAAACCGACGACATCTATGTTATCTAAACCATCATATTATGTATCTAGCGGAGCCCCTAAAGTCATATAGCACACACCGAGTAACGGTGAGAGTCTTATCAAGTAACTCCTATTTTGACTAAGAGTAGAGATGCCCTCTATTAAGTATTAATAAGGCATAACTAGCTGTATTAAAGAAGCCCTTGAAAAGATACTCACTCAACGAAAAGTAAACTCCAGTGCCATGAATAAATACAATAGGGGCTGAAACTAGCGAATGAACGCTGAGATCAGCCGACCAAGTATTAGGAAAACAATCTGAAATTAACGTACGCAAATATCTGCAATACTTAAACTCGGTTTCTATTTGACTTGACTAGTAATGCCTCGGAACTAGCAGTAATAGAAACGCAATGTATAACTCACCGCACTTGACATGAGAAGAGGTAAAGTTACTCTCACCTCATTTTAAGGGGGACACTTTGACCCAATCATTAATATCGCATGATAGCTATAGAATCTCACATGCAACTATAAGGTCTGGGGAACTTAAGATGCTGCTAACTGCTACACTTACCTTTTTAAGGGAATTAATTTGCTTCTTGTGTTGCCGCGCGTAATCATCGTAGTCGAATAATCCACACTCCTTACGGGGGTAACTCTGCAAATGGGATCCCTTCATCAACATAGAAAGGATGGAGCCGTCACCGGCTCGATAGGATGCTGAACTTCTGATTTACAGCTGACAGCTAATCCAAATTTGATAAACTTCATCGAAACATTGAAATGTTATATAATAAGCAGGCACCTATTGGATAGTAGTAACTCGAAGCCTCGAATTTCCATGCAAAACCTGGAACGCACCACCCGAATTTCCAATTCATGCGCCCATCTTCATACACAAAAAGGACCAAAAACTGTCCCGTATATATACATATCGTACTCTTCTCCCGCCTTCTTACAATTTCATGCCCGTCATCTTAGCAACTCTTAAGCTCTGCCTCATGCTCAGGTCAAGCATGATCTCCTCGCTACCTCCAGGAATGGCATACGCGCGGACGTCACGGTACAGTCGCTCGACCTTGCCGCCCTGACCACCTCGCGAGTAACTCAGGCCACCGAAAATTTGGCTGGCCTCGCGCGCACAGAACTCAAAGGTGAGCGTGCTCTGGGCCTTGAGACCAGCAATGGGTCCACCGAGTCTGAGCATAGCCTCTGTCTCGCCCATCTTCTGGCACTGGTAGACGAGGTTCTCTAGCCAATTGTACGAGGCCTCGATCTGCCTCGCCATGTGCGCCAGCTTCATGCGGATCACGGGGTGCTCCATCAACTTCTTGCCAAAGGTTCGTCGCTTGTTCGCGTATTTGACAGATTCCTCGTAGCAGACACGGGAGAAGCGCAGGCATTGGATGATGATACCCATCCGTTCGTGGTTGAAGTTGGTCATCATGACTGGATTCAAAATTAGTAACCCTGATCTGGAGTTGATGCTGAGACTTGCTTACCCTTGAAGCCCTGGTTTTCCTTGCCAATGAGGTTCTCAACAGGCACCTTAACATCCTCGAAGGTGATGTATGTAGTACCGGACGACCATACACCTTGGCAGTCCATACGTCTTGTGCTTACGCCACCGAAGTCACGCTCGATAAGGAGCAGGGAGACACCGGCCATACCCTCGCCACCTGTTCGTACGGCGACGGTGAAGTAATCACACCAGATACCATTCGTAATCCACTTCTTTTCACCGTTAACGATGTAATGCTTGCCATCTTCGCTCAGCTTAGCTTCGCAAGTCAGGTTAGCAACATCGCTTCCGGCATCGGGTTCCGTGATTGCTAAGCAAATTCGTTTCTCTCCTGTCAGAAGTCCAGGTAGAATACGGTCTTTCAAGGCCTTCTTGCCGAACTTGACGAGCGGCGGGCAACCAATACCAAAGCCACCAAGGATGTTCCAGACAAACCCGCCAGATCCGACACGTGACAGTTCATCGGTGACGATCAATTCATGGAACAGATCCCATTGCTCCGGCGCTACCGACTTGACAGTATTTTTCGTGTACTCGACGGGATAATGTACACCTAGTAGGCCTGCAAGATAACCACGACGGCCTGCCTCGAGGAAGATCTCACGTGGCACCTCTTTCTTTTCGTCCCATTCCGTGACATTCGGCTCGATATCGCGCTCGACCCATTCGCGAATTTCGGCTCGGAGAGCGGCGTGGGATTCGTTGAAATAGGGAGAGTGGAACTACGAGCAAATAATTAGCAAGGATAATTGAGACATACAGCCGAGCTGTGTGAGGCGAAGACATACACCCTGGTACCAACTGGGATCCGCAAAAGGAATCAGAGCACCGAATGGTTCCAATGCCTCGGTCTCTTGTTGCGCAGTGGAGGGAACAACGGCTTTCTTAGTCTCCTTCGTCGGCTTGGGAGCAGCGTAGGTCTTGGACGGTTCTGGTGTTGGTTCGGACTTGGGTTTGGGTTTGGTATCTAACGAGCCAATTTGAAGTGATGGTTTGTACTTCTTGAGAATACCCTCATTATGATATTTCCAAAATTGCTTGGACGCATCCTTTCCGGCAACTCGGGTTAGGATCTTCTTCCCACCTACATGACAATGAGACTATGGTTAGCGATTTTGACTTAAGCCTATTTGATTCAGACAGGTGCATTGCGCCGAGCTCTCGACGCTCCCGTGGGTGGCATCGTGAGGATGCAAAATAATCTAGAGAGGTCAAGTGACGACATACCAGGGTGCTCATCTTGGAATTTGGTCAGATCGTAGACATCGTCATCTACAACGATCCATAGAGAATCGCCTTTGTTATGCGATGCGACGTCGCTCTTGGAAAAGGTCTTGGACATGCTGAAGGAAAAGCCTGGGTATATAGAAATAAAATATCTATTTGGAATTATAGCAGTAACATAAAATGGTTAAAAGTACAAGTGAGGAAAAGGGAAAGATCAATTATCTTTTAAAGGAAGAACCAAAGGCTCGGCGATTACACTTTTTTTTACCGAGCCTCGCCCTCTACTGCAACGTCTTACGGCTAAGAGCTTGCAAGTTCAACATGTGATTCTGGAAAGGGACCCTGTAATGTTCGGCCTATTCTGGAACCTATGCCGCGAACCAGCTATGTACTGTTTAGCTCCCTATAGATGCGCTATAAATGCGCTAACGCGTCTTCTAAGCCACTCAGTGACTCGCTATTGGCAATGAGAATCTGCGACATTGCTCTCAACATGGGACCGACCCCCCACAATAATACCTAGCCTAGGTTAGGCGAAGTGGACCTACACGCAAGAGTTAAAAAAGAACTTCCGGGGGTTTTCGTGGGGAAAGGAATAGTATACGTTTATGACTTGGGATGTTTTAGTGCTCCTTCGCCATTACTATTACTCGTGTCATGTGTTGCGTCTCAACCTAAGGTATCGTTGGCATGTGATTCAAAGTTTCTTCCTTATTTGGAGCTGAGAATGTGGGGGATGTAGCAGAGGCAATACATACATACTGTACCTACCATGTAATGAGGTCATGCTTAAGATCTCTTAGTTGTGGCCAATTGGAGATGTTGGAGATTGAAAGTACTGGGGTCACACACTGCCGAGGTACATACGCCTAGAGGATCCACAGTAAGTCGCCCGATAATGCGGCACCGGACTGCAAGAGCTGTACCTAAGAAATAAGAAACTCGAGACTTCTCTAGGTTAGGTTAGTTCCATATGCTGTTACTTCATCCGCTTCTAGTTTCCCTGGTGTAATCTATTCGCTTCATCATTCCCGCCTATTTATGTCTCTATTGCCGCATATCTATTGCAATAAAGGCTCGTAAATTTAGCGAACCAATTCTTTCTCAATTTCATGTTTCTAACGTTGATCTGTTCTACGGTGAAGGAACAGAAAAACTCGACTCAGATTATAGACACATGAAATTAAACAACAGTTAATGTCTAAGGGAAGCCTTCTACAATGCACACGATATTCCGAATCTTCCGCAATGACACATTACTTCCTCACAGGTAATTCATGTCAAAAGTTTGGCAATTGTAAGTTTTAGTATTACCTTAACTAACTAGGTAGGTATGCTACAAGTTAGGTATTCATCATATTATTGTAGTAAATTGTAGCTGGATGGTGTATTGCACAGTCCGGGTTTTGCACAGCTAACCTCTTTGACACGCCTCTCAACACGTCTCTCGCTACGGTCAACATATCATCACTAAACACTGTACGATGTGTTACCTATAACTAATGAAGTTACGTCAGATTGTTTCGAGATTGAAAAGACAGTCTCTTTTGTACGCGATGGTTCAATTATACAGAAACCACCAAAATAAATCGCCGCGCCTATTAGCGCTATCATAATTTCATACTCAAGCCTGGGATGGGTTATTAAGCGCCTGCGTCTCAAGCTGGACAACACCATAGCCAGTCATTCTCTTTGTTGCCGCTGGACAAGGGACAAAACCACAAGCACAGGCCACTGTCGATTAGGCCCTTGATTGGTCAATAGCACTTCAATTGGGAAACTCCCGATTTAGAAGTCTTTCAAACTGGCCTGCGACTTGAAAGCTCAAAGGCCAGTTGACCCTCTTTGTTGGCCCTGTTGTATCAACTTGCGCCGTATTGAGCGCTTGTTTGTCAATGGATTCACAGATTCAGATCTGGCTGTGTTTGCATTGTTTTCATATTTAAATATCATTCAATGTTCCTCAAGGACTGAGTCTACTTTCTTGTACACATGTTTCCTTCGTCACTACTATAACACATACGACACTGGTTGTCTTTGATTCACTCTGCATTCATTAAACATCATCAGCAGATAATTATTTAATAATCTTTTAACTGGAAGTTTCCACGGCTTACTATTTATCGTTCCTTGCCCAGATCATCTTGGAATCATCTACAGCCTCAGCAAATTCGCATATACATAACCAGTAGCCAGAAGAAGAAAAAGCAACCGGAAATAATGGCTATTAAATCTCTCATCACCCGATTTGGCAAAGGTGCTGCCACCAAGCAGATGTACATATACGAGACATGGCTACGTTGGATCGTCCGCGGAATCCAGTTCGTACTCGCCGTCATTGTCTGTGGTCTATATGGGCGTCGCGTCGACCATGATCGTAGACACGGGAACGGTCAGTCAGTCGCGTGGGTTTACGCACTATTCGTCGCCGGTTTTTCGTGCATCACCTGCATTTTGTACTCTATCCCCAACCCATTCGGCCGCCTACAGTCGCATCGCCTCTTCGCCTGGGACCTCATCCTCTTCGTCCTGTGGGTTGCCCTCTTCGGCACCTTTGCCGCTATCTTCCTCAAACGTGAGGAAGACGAGTACGAGGGCACCAGCGTCTCACTCATGAAGTGTGCTGTCTGGATTGATCTCGTGAATTGCGTTTTCTGGCTCTGCACCGGTCTTTACGGCTGCTTCCGTACTTTCGTCGGCAGGAAGGTGAACGGGAAGATCGATGAATATTCGAACAAGGTTGAGGATGGAATCAACGCCAAGGTGGATCAATACGCGGGTTCCGCAAAGGACAGCTTCAGCATGAAGCTCAATCCCTTACACAACGCCGGTTCCGCAAAGAGCAACTTCAGTATGAAGCTTAATCCTTTACGCAACGAGACAGTATGAGCTAGGAATACGTGGGAAGGGATGGATATCTCATACGTTGAATAACGATGCGCATGGCCGTATGATAGGATTGGGTTATAGGGATCTTGTTCATGCATAGCATTACGGACGGTTGCATATAGACTACTAGACGGGCTTCATCAGTTAGAAGTGATGTCTCAGACTGATCCCCTTGGGTTCCCTTTTTCGGGAGCCATCAAGGGTTGTCCATTAATATTATTATTATATTTTACACTATAATTTTCCCACAATATTAATCATGATCCGTATTGAATTTTAACTGTACACGGACTAGATGTTGTGTCCTAAGTGGCCACAGGGGCTATTTTACAATGGCCAGGGGAAGCCTAAATCAAGCCTCAAATATATCGTAATACTACATCCTAAGAATTATTTTATGTTTATAGCTTCATTGTTTATACTTCTCTACCGCCGGTTCATTCATTTCATACTCTAATCTTGTTTGTAATGCCTTTGTTTAACTAGTATACCACTTCTAGCCTAGGTAGGTAGCTATGACATTTTCCCAATACGTTCTCATCCGTATTATCTTCAATATACATAACCTAGTTCTATTATGGTGACTATACTCTATCATCAGCACATTAGTCCAGTAGTCTTGCTGCCACAGCGATGAAACTTCCAGGCAATCAAATTATTTTGCCCCGACGATTCGACATTGCATTTACAGAGATCGCAACAAAGTGATGTCTTAGAAAGGTTGTATAGGCATCACCTAAATACAGATGTTCTAGGCCACCATACTATATTAAAACACAAAGAAATTATAAAATAACAGGGCCGGTTTTTATCAAAAGCATTGTCCAACATTTCCTTTGTTACGTATCTACTTCCTTTGATGAACTATACAAACCATGTAATCAGATATCGATATAATGTTCCATTCCTCTTGTTCTCAAGTTGAACTAGACAGCCCAACTCGATCCACACAAGTCCTTTACAGTCAATATTGTTTCAAACAAATTCTTTTCCAATTTTGACACAGATTTGAGCAAAATGTCTCCTAAAGGTACTCGCCTTACACACAAATCTCTCCCGCGACTTATCATTCCGTTAGGGAGTCGTCGAATGGAGCCTGAGGAAATTACAGTGAGCCGTGTCAAGGACTTTCTAGACTACTGTATCAAGAATAAAAAGGCACCTATCACGCGGCTCCCAGATATTGCCTTTATCCCTCCCCCGGGCACTCCAGGCTCGGGTTCAGGTAGTACAGGAGACCAGAAGAAAGGAAAGGAGCCCGAAAAGAAGCCTAGCAGTCATGAAGAACAGGAAAATCCGGATACTATCGCATTCACGGATTGTGAATACGACAGGCTAGAGGCGTTGCAAGCACAGCTTGCCGAGGTTAAGGTGCTACATCATAATTTGTATCACCAGACGACCGTAGACCGGAATAATAGGGAGGCAATGACAAAGTGCAAGAAAGCTAGAGCTGAGCGGGAGCAGATTAATAACGAGATCTCGGAAATTTATCGAAAGAGGGCGATTCGTCGAGACTTTAGACGGGATGCCAACAACCCTAAGGGAATAAAGAATTGGTGATAGCCCAGGTAGGTGGGCACTAAGGGATATTAATGGGCGGCCATGGAAAGGGGGCAAGTACGCGAAACCTCTTTCGTTAATGATTCTTATGATGTTTATGACTGTTATGATTAAGGGTAAATCAATTAAAGTCACATAGGATGTGACATTTCTGTACTACATAAAATAGGAGTGGGGGAGGCTGGGAATAGTAAACATAACATAATTCTCCAACTTGCTCTCTCATTGTCATCGAGGCTACTCCTTGCGATTTTTCAAGTACCCAGCTTTCATCCTTGAAATTAGCCGTGACAAATGAGTAATAGGTTTTCGTACCGCCATAAAAAGCTTTAAGATTATTGTTTAGAAACTACGTAGACTGGGTAGTATCTTAAGCATATCGATGAGTACCTAAATCTGACCAAGCAGCAAAGAGTATAAGTTGGCGAACAACGAGACTGTTCCTGAACACCTGAGAAGTTCACAATCGCTTTGTTTCCATTGTATGAGCACATCAAATTGTTCCAGCGGAAACATAAATATATGTGGTTTCGTGCACACGATCTATCATGGATTTATGAGCCACAAAGGACATGACATATCATCTGAGTTGGCTATTTCAATATAAATTCGTCAACATCTCGACTTGCAGATACAGCACATATCTCACACATCTAACAATTGAAGTATCCATATCTAAAGTATTCACACCAAAACCAAAAAGAATCCTTATCGAATAGAACTTATAACTTTATAAATCATGTCCGGCCAAGCTTCGTCAAGACAAGGGTCGTTCAGAGAACGGGTTGAAGAAGAGATGCGAACTCGAGGGCAGACAACAGGTACGGGCCGGTCCCCAAACCAGGAGACTTTATTAAAAAGCCCCCCGCGAAAACTCTCATACGAGTTACTTCCTGAGATTCTCTCAGTGGTACCCAAGGTAGCCCCACCGGTCTTGACCAAGGATGATGGAAATGTTGCGCCACTGGATCATCTAGCCAGCCTACCTGTCCAGCAAAAACCAAGCCAGGCAGGACAAAACACGCTGGGCCCCAAATCGACGCTCCGTAGACGCAACGCGCTCTGCCGACGTGTGACAGCGCCCGTGGGATGTAAGAAAGGGATTCCTGACGATGACAACCGTCCCAAGGACTACTTTTCTTTCCCGTTCGCGGAGCCCCCTTCGCCGCATTCGCCTGCGGCGGAGGAACTTCGCAACGCGTGGCAGAGCTTTCAAAGGCCGATCCGAGCCCACTCGTTACCCTCGCGTCAGTTTCACAAACCTGAGAATATGCTAAGCTAGTAATTATAAGTGGCCGTGGAGCAGTACAGGAAGCCGGCCTATGCATAAGAAAGAAAGAAAGAAAGAAAGAAAGAAAGAAGAGTTGTATATAAAGGAAGAGAAATAGGCGATATGAAGTAGGCGTGTTTCCCTTGTTTCCCTGTTTATTTCTAGTTAAATGTTTTTTTTTTGGGGGGGGGGGGGGGGGGGGTGAGGTAGGGGTTAGAATTAGCATTTTTTTAGAAACCACTAAAATGAAGCGTAATGTTTGAATTATAAAAGATAGTAAAAACATATAACCCCCGGGGCTGGGGGTCCGGCCAAA